TGATTCAAGCTCTCCTTGCCTTATTCTTTGGTTCTCAGCCACAATACGACCATTGGAATCAAAAAAACTAATTGTAGGTGTAGTGCCATCCCGACCAATAGAGAAAGCAGTTATCGGGAGAGGGATTGATTCAGGGACACTATGGGTGGGTCTTTGAATAAAATCCACCTGTTCCCCTTCATTTTGAGGTGTTCCAGTATCTCATTCTTCACTGCCTTTCAGTTCACCGAGAGCCTTAACAGCAACGTTGTTGCTTCTAACACTGCCTCACTCCTCTATGTGGTGTGGGTGCTAATTTGCGCTTGGAGAGAACCAAGATGTGTCCCCAACCCAAGTTAGAAAATTGCCAATGAGTGGATTGTGATGGTGTTGTAGAAGAAGAATTTTCCAATCTAATGAGATCTCTTTCCGTTTGGGCTGGTCGAGATAAGTTTTGCTGGGCTGGGCTCTCGTCAATGACCTTTGTGTGGGCATGAAATTCCCTTTTATGTTGAACTAGGTTTACCTTAGTGTTCAACAGTATTGGGTTTTCCCTTCTGTCCTCCTGAAGGACCTAAAATCTATTGGATTGTGAGGCCCCCATGTTCCCATTGTTGGTTGGGCTTCCTAGGCTCAAAAGGACTTCAACAACCCGTTTCCATTGACCTAGTACTGTTTTACCCCTGCTTTGTGGTGTACACATGGTCTTTTGGGTGGGTGCCGAATCAGGAATGCATGATAGGTTAGAGACCACCAGATCCAAATCCCCATCTCTACCGTCTCCCTCCTTTGCTGCCACCGAAATGGTCTTTGGATATATATCGTTCCCCCACCTTCCTGGTTTACTGTTATTGCCTCCCTCTTGCTGTCTCACAGCTGTTGACTCTCTATCCTCCATTATCACTACTTTAATTGTGAACTTCTTGCCTCCTTCTCCATATACAGTACCCTGGGAATTGCCTCCCTTTTTGTGTCCCCCACAACTACTTTAATGTAACTGTGAGAAATTCGTATCCCACTGATACAATATCACCCAATTTAACAAAGCTTACTACAATTATTTTAACTACTTCATCATTATGCTAGTGCATTATTTTAACTACATCAACCATTTTTGTACTATTCATGTTTTCTCATAATTAATTACATGATCACATCCACTCCACTTTGACTTTAAGACTTTAAAATTCGAATACCTATTTTTTACTTTAAAATTTGAGTACCCGAATAGGCCTGTGGCTTAATAGTAGTATCATTATCTCAAAGTGGAGAAATTGACGGTTCGAAATACGTTAGCAGCTGATTGTTTGATATTAGTTTCAACATCTAAATTAAAAAAGGTAGGAGAATTAGTTTTGCTATCCAAAAAGGACTTACAGTGTAGCTTGTAGCGCGCTTGTCCTCTACTTTTGTGTAATTTTTCTGAGTTTATC